GCTTGTGTATGTCTCCACTCTGGGTTAATGTGGGAATGTTTTCCTATGTCAGGAAGTCACAAGTCTATCTACAAAAAGATTGTGCATACACAACTAGGAATGAAGATCACAGGAGCTTTAATAGTAAAATAAAAATAAATAACACTCAAATCTCTTTATAAGTCCCCAGAGCACAATGTGTATTTTCTTGCTTCCTTTTTCATGGATTCAAATCAAGACTTTGACACCCACACACCCGATACCCGAGATCCTGATCAGCCGGCTCCCGAAGATTCTGCCTCTTTTCAGGCACAGAAAAGTGGGGGTTTTTGTACCGGTTAGGGGTTGCTTAAGGGCTGTGGTAGAGATTTTATGTTCAAAAGAATGTGTTCTGAAAGCAGGATTTCGATTTTCTTATACTGAATGGCAAAGGTTCCTTGCACCTGGCTACCTTCGTTTCTGAAATAAGTGCTTTCATTTTATTCTCTCTAGCCTTCTCTCTCTACCCTTTGTTCTGAAAGCAGGATTTCGATTTTCTTATACTGAATGGCAAAGGTTCCTTGCACCTGGCTGGCTACCTTCGTTTCTGAAATAAGTGCTTTCATTTTATTCTCTCTAGCCTTCTCTCTCTACCCTCCCCTCCCCCATTGCCTCCTTTCAGTGTCTTTCTTTTTCTCTTTATTCTTTCCCTTCTTTCTCTCTCACAGTAAACTGTTCTGGAGGATGTGAATGATTAAACTGTTTACTCCAAGGTTTAGGTATGAGAAAGCATGTCACTATAAGTAAAGTTTCACCTTTATACCCACCTCCATCAATAATTACAGAACAAGGATGACTATTAGTAAATCTTTCTTACAATTAGCTCTTACAAAAATGATTTCATTTATTCTGAGCATACCGAGTTCTATTAATTTTACTTTTCACAAAAATTAATTACAAAGCAGAGGAGCTTGCTCCAAATGAAGTCAGCATCTAAAGGGCTTGTGAGTATATCTATGGGAAAATGGATACCCGTAAAACATGTACCTCATTAAAATTAGAGATTTGAGGCCATAAATAAAAAGTTTTGATAGATTATATTAGTATTTACTCTCTAAGTTAAACCAAAATGTCTGTTAATAATTAAAATTCTATGAGATTGATTTTTGTTTTGTTTCCTTCCCTCCCTTTGTCCTCTTCAGCAAAATTACGCAGAGTCCTTTTGGGTGTACACTGATAAAAATAATTAACTTTTCTTCCACCTCCAAAAAGTCCCAAATAAATGCTTCCAATGGACATCAAAAAAATGTCAATCAGAAATAATTACTTCTTATCAATCAGTGGGGCAATTAAAGTGACAAAGCTTGAAAAGATACTTATCTTAAAACTAATTCACGAGGTAGCTAAATTATCTCCTAATTAACTTGCATTGAAGAGGGTAGGAGGATAGACCATCTTGAAACAAAGATGAATTGAGGAACCCCAATACCTTTATGTTCCTCAAGACTGTTTCGCCTCGAAGAAGACGTTATTTTCAACCCATGCAATAAACCTGGGAAAAAAAACATCCTTCCTAAGTGCATTTATTTCTCTTTTCTCCTTTTAAAAACCAAGAGGAGGGAAGGGGGCTTTAGGTCTCAGATCGAAAGTTAGAGGTATCCTTCCTCCTAGATCTTAAGCCTTGTTTTACCACTTGAATGACCTATTTTGAGAACCAGGGATGAGGGTTGCACAAGTTATTTCATACAACTTTTAATGACAACCTGCTTGCTTGTACTAAGCTCTCTTCCTCATTGATACAGTATGATTTACATTTTAATACTCATGTGGCCTTTATCCTTTCCCGTGCAATCTTTGAATATTTTTTTTAAACGTTTTTGCTTTAGAGGATTTTTGTTCCCGGATGCAACAAAAATCACTGCGGATTTTAGGGAACATTCTGCCTATCGCTGACCTGCGCATATCAGAATAACTCACTCTCAACATTCCTTCAGAATAAGACTGTAGCAAAGAAAATATTAAGATCTCTCTGCAAGGCAAGATCAGCCAAGGGTGAGCCGCGGTGGCTTGGGAGGCGGAGGCCACAGAAGAAACTTTTCCCCAGCGTCTCGGGTTATTGGAAGGGGTGGCCTCCGCCTCGCTCCCGCGAAAAGTCGCGCGGCCACCCGCGCCCCAGATTCCCTTCCAGAGAAAACTTAAGTGGGAGCGCTCCATGCAGGGCTGAACTCAGAAAGGAGGTGCTTGGGGGAAAAGGGGAAACCGCTAAAACCCAAAGAGAGAATGGGCTTATAAAAACAAAAGGGATCGGTTTATGAATTAGCTGTAAGTATAGGCAACGGTTCAAGTAAACTGATTAGAAAAACAGAGGATTTCCCATTCAGGTTTGCAGAGACAGGACTTAGAAAAGAAACAGGGGACAACCTTGAACCACCTCAGCTGTGTTTCAGGCAATTCGTCTCTGTTTTATTAGCATTAAATTAAACTAAAGGAGAAAGTCTCATTCTTTCTCCCTCGAAGCTTTACTTATTTATTTGTTTTGGGGAGGAGGAATAAGCCCCTTTCCCTCCCCCAGACAGAAAAATACCTGGCAGTGCCAGGGGAAGACGGCTCCTTCCCCAAACCCAAGTGCGATTTGTATCTGAGCTAATGGGAAAGCATCCATCTCATCATCTGAGACTGTTGCTGATTTAAAATAAAGTAAAAAATAAATTGAGCCTTTTTTCTTTCCCTCTCTTATTCTCATTTATTCTAATGAATGTTTCTAGAATGAAAATGAGTTGGGGGGTTGGGGGGGGGAGAAAAGCCAGCCCGAGGAACAGTGACACCGTCCTTTTTCTCAGGCAGTGTCAGAGGGGAAGGGTACGGTCCGGCCTAGTAAATGCAAGGTCCGAGAGCACCCGCTCCTCCTACCAGCGCCGGTAAGGTCAGGAGAAGGTCGGGAGAAAGGACCGAATCCTGGAGCCGAGCGGAAGTGGACGGGACCAGCCTGGCGTGGGATCGGGCACCGCACGAGGCACCGCTTTTGGCCTCGGGGACCGTCCTGAGCCCCAGGCGGGGGCGACGTCCGGTATTGTATCCCTGTTTGGCTAAGAACTAAGAGGCTGAAACCTGGTCCTGGCCTCAGAAAGTGGCTTAGGAGCGCGCGTGGCTCCCGAGAGCGGACGGCTACGGGGTGCCAGGCAGCTGCCCTCCGGTTCCCAGCCCGGGCGCGCCGGCAAAGGGCCGCGAGGTCTCCAGCCCGCAGTCCCTGAAGCGGCCCGGCGCCCGCAGAAGGCGGCCAGGACGGCTCTGGCCCCGAGCTCTTGTTGGGGAGCGCGGAGCAGGGAGGGAGCACCCTGCTGGCTCCATCTGTGGCTCCAGAGCGACCCGGGGTGGGAAACCTTCTGGCCCCCCAGGGGGTTCCCGGTGCCCCTCCTGGTGCAGCCTCGGCCCTCGGACCCAAGACTGCGCGGCACGGCCCGCCCCCGTGGCGCGCGGGGCTGAATAGAGATCTCAGCCGCCGCGCCGCGCCACATCCGACCCTCCTTATTATAACAAATGTCCCGTTTGCCGAGCGGGACTTCATATTCGCCGAGAATTCATCTGAAATATTGATTTCCTCTCACTTCGTCGGCCTAAATCGATAGCGATGCGCCCTGGCCCCATAAATCGCCTTCCCTGCGGCCGGCCCGGCCCCCACCACCCCCGCCGGCCGAGCCGCGCCTCCGCCCGCTGTCCGCACTGGCCGTGCGCCGGGGCGGCCGTGCCCACCGTGCCCACCGCTGCTGACCTGCCCCGACCCTGCGGCTCCTCTCGCACACAGACCCCTCCCGGCCCGGGCGGGGAGGGGTCTGTGTGCGAAAGGAGCCGCAGGGTCGGGGCAGGTCAGCAGCGGTGGGCACGGTGGGCACGGCCGCCCCGGCGCACGGCCAGTGCGGACAGCGGGCGGAGGCGCGGCCCCCCCCCCGGGGGGGGGGCCGCGCCTCCGCCCGCTGTCCGCACTGGCCGTGCGCCGGGGCGGCCGTGCCCACCGTGCCCACCGCTGCTGACCTGCCCCGACCCTGCGGCTCCTCTCGCACACAGACCCCTCCCGGCCCGGGCGGGGAGGGGTCTGTGTGCGAAAGGAGCCGCAGGGTCGGGGCAGGTCAGCAGCGGTGGGCACGGTGGGCACGGCCGCCCCGGCGCACGGCCAGTGCGGACAGCGGGCGGAGGCGCGGCCCCCCCCCCGGGGGGGGGGCCGCGCCTCCGCCCGCTGTCCGCACTGGCCGTGCGCCGGGGCGGCCGTGCCCACCGTGCCCACCGCTGCTGACCTGCCCCGACCCTGCGGCTCCTTTCGCACACAGACCCCTCCCGGCCCGGGCCGGGAGCGAAGAAAGCAGGCACCGGGGCCGGGGAGCTCGAGCGTTTTGGAAGGCCCTGGGCCGGGGCGCGGGTGGGAATGGGGGTTCAGGTCCGGGGGCCGCTTAGTCCTCGCCAGCCGGATGACCCGCGCGCGGCCCGGTGCCTGGCAGGGAGGAGTCGAAGAGCACCCGGGTGCGCTCCTGGGTCCCAGGCCCCGGACCACGGGCTCCTTTTCTGCTGGCGAGAGAGACGCAGGGGGCTCGCAGTCCCTCCGGGGGAGTCACGGGAAAGGACCGCGCGCACCCGAGGACTAGGGCTTAGAGGTCGGCGGCAGGGCAGCTGCCAGTCCAGCACCGGCGCGGCCCAGGGCCTGAGAGTGCCAAGGAGGTCCACCCTCATGGGCCATGCCAAAGGGGGGTGGGGCGCAAAGGACACCCGCAGTGTCCCCAGAGAGAGTCCCTCACCGCTCCGTGTGGTCCGCAGAAACCAAGGCCTGGAGAGAGCTGCTCAGCCGGGCCGAAGGGGACCCCAGGGCCCAAGAACAGCGAGAGGCGGCCCCAGCGGAGGGCAAGGCCCGAGGCGCCCCCAGCTGCGTCCCGTCCCCACGCCGTTGGGTCCCGCGAGCCCTAAGCGTACGCTCCCGAGCCCCACCGACCCGAGAGCGCACGCAAGGACGCAAGGCGGCGCGGGGCTCGGGGGTCCTGGCCGCGCCGCGTCCTTACCGGATCTGATGGAGTTGTGAGGCATCGCCGGGGAGTCGCTCGCAGCCAGCCGACGAGGGCTCGGGGCTTCCTCACGCAGGTCCCAGCCGCTCCTGCCGCCACGCCACTGCCCTGCACAGACCCAGGGGAAGGGGCATGAGATTCGATGCCCGCAGCCTTAGACCCCCTCCTCAGGTTCTATCCCTTAGACTTTTATCGCGTGCCAGGAGTCGGAGGATTTTTAGGCAAAGTGGGGCCGACCTCAGCCTGGCCTAGCTAACATGGCCATCCGGGGGATCCCGCATTGGGAGTGCATTGAGGAAGCACCAAACTCCAGGCTGTCCCAACCTTATTCCGTTTAACTTGGGAGGGAGAAGGCTGCCAGGCTTCCCGGGACGCTCTCCTTTTTCGAATCCCCTCTCTCCCAGTGAGCTTCCTAATAACCCCTGGGCGACGTACCTGGCCTGCCGGCCGCAGGCCCTCACTGCCTGGGTCCGCCCGTGAGGGTGCCCTGGGTCCCGCGTCTCTCCTGGTTCTGAAGTTTGTTCCCATCCACCCGGCATCGCCGGCCGGTTTTATCCCGCCGAGGCCCTGGGAGATGGGTCTGGCGAGGCTTGCAGGCCGCGGATTGGCTGGCTGGGTGCAGGCGGGTGCGGGAAGGGGAGGATTTTGCAAGGGGGACATGGCTGAGTGGACTCAGGAGTTAGAAACATTCGCTGGAGCTTCTGTTTCCAGTGGAGAGAAGAGGGAGGCAGCTGAGCCCTAACTCAGCAGGCCTGGAAATATGGGAGGAGTGCGAGATGGAGGCCTCGGGGCCTGAGGATGAAGTTCTGTGCGTCCTCCTGGGGTCACTGACCATTGGAAGTGAGAGACATGATCTCCTCTCATGACACCCTAGGACTCTCCTCTCACACCTGGTCTGTCACTGAGAAGCCGACTTTTCTAGGAGGGAACTTTTGTTTTTATGCCTGGTTCCTAAGGTAGACACCTGCTTGCAGGGCTGCAGGCTGGGAGGCCTCACCTTCCCACTACTGGTGTAGACCTCTTCCGGGGTGAATCCTACCAGCCCCTGAAGCCATTGCCTCCGTCCCACACAGACAGGATCCACACCTTCACATTATCGGGTTACCCAGAATGGTCACATAACCCGTTCCACAGGGACTACTCTGTCCTCCCAAACACACGCACAGCCATCTGCCCTCTTTCTTGCTTCTTGAGGATTTTGAACTTGAGGGGAGAGTTCAGGGGAAGGGCATTGAGAGCCTAGATTTCACCTCAAGTGGAAGGGCCTTAGAAAGGGACGGGACTGAGCTGACCTCTGGCCTTGTCTATAGGAATCAACAGCCTTGGCAGTGTGCTGTGGATAGAAGGGGGTCTTTGGGGTGGGAATGAGAGGGCCTAAGCTGTGGCAAAATCTGTCCCCTCCTTCCTCATAGTTCTCTCTGCTGAGAGTCAGGGTACAGAGAAGATTGTGTGTGGGTACATGTGAGCAAATCCCGGAGTCCCTGCCCGGCCCGGGGCGAGGCCCAGATGCTCCCCCATCTCAGGCCAGACCTCTGCACTCAGTATGCCAGCTGAGAGGACAGCCATGCTCCCTCCAGAGGCAGCTCTGTGGGTAGAGGGGCTGCTCTGGGACATGGAGGCTGAGGTGCTGGAGGGAGAGGGAAAAGAGGGAAGGGGCAGAGGAAAATAGGGTGTCCCGGGATGTATATGTGTGTGAAACTCACTGTTTTTTTTAATTAAAAAAAAAAGTTTTATCTTTCATGTTAATTTACTACCTTCCCTCACCCAGCCTTTCTCATCTCTCAATTTAGGAGAAATTAATCATTTTATGAAAAGAAAGAGAAAAGAATGAGTGTGTCCTAAATGGATCCTTTGCATTTGTAAAGGGCTCTTAACAAAAACAATAGGTGCTTTATTATATTGAATGTTACTCCAAAATGGTTATTTAAAATTGCTCTCTGGTTTCCAAAGGTCCGGATCCTCAGCTTCTCTGGTCAGACTCCCTGGAGAGAGAAGGTTGACAGGTGTCGGGATGGAAGTGAATCTTGGCATAGGTCCCACTGACCCCATGGGCCAGTTTGCCATGCTGGGCCCTGATCAGCTGTGCAGTTGAGCTCCGGAGGGTGGAGGTCACAGCAGTGGCTCTTGTCATCCACCCAGGCCCCCTTCCTACCAGGAGGGCAGTGCTCCAGGGGAGTCTGACAAGCCCTCATCCAAAAAGTTCTGAAAACTTCAGCAGTTCTACCCCAGCCAAGGGTCTGATAGGCCCTAAGAACCATCAAAACTCATGCATCCATTTTTGCCAGTGCTCTTTTACCACCCAACAATGCGAGTATTTCTCTTACTGCCCCTGTGTGGGGAAAAGTTCTCAAAGGACAAAAACAGCAAATTACCAAAACATTGCTGTCCCATTTTTTTTTTAGCTCATTAAAAACAATATAAAAACTTAATGTGCAGTCGTGCAGAGCTACTCTGCAAGGAAAATACATCCATACACCTTGAGAGCTCCCTTCTCCAGACTGCAGGTGACATAGTATATGACCAGGAGGAGACTCTGCAGAGATCTTCTAGAACCAACAAACAGGAGGAAGGCAGTGAGCTCCTTCTGCAGAGATAAACACAGCCTGGAGGACTGGCCGGCTTTCTAATAACAATGGGAAATCGGACACGGGTTTGTTCACTGGTGCTTTCTAATTCTCTGAGACCAAGGCCAAGGAAATGTAATGACTGGTACCCCAACTTCGTCCCTCTGGCATCAGTCTCTTCCTCTGCAAAATGAGAGGTTTGAAATACAAATATTTAAAAAAATGCTTTTTAGCACAGTTTTTCTTTGAACTTTAAAAAAATCCTTTAAAAAATCTTTTAGTTAAGCATAAAAATCATATGCCTTTCTTTGACGTTATTTGACATTTCAAAATAAATTTGCGTCATGACTAAGAGACTCTCAGTTCAACGGGAAATCTAGAACTCCCATTTTAAAACCAATACTTCCTTCTTCACCCTTTTTCTCACACTTGATGCCCCTAAGGCTTTCAGGCCGAAGTTATCATCCGGCAAGCTGTGGTTTAAAGCCAGTTATGATTTTTTAAAAAAGAACTCGTTTTTCTGAGAAAGTTTAGTTTATTGCCAATGTTAAAATATAATAATAGAGAAGAGAGAGTAACTGGTTTGCCATTAAAAATTTGAGAGATCTGGCTACAGGTCTGAGAGTTTCTTTGTGGAAATGAATATTCTTTCAGGTTTAACATTCCAACAATCCCAGGTAACTGCCTAACTCCAGGAAGTTTTTGAATTTGCATAATATTCTGTGACTTTTAAATTCTGTGTTTATCTGCTGAACCTTCAAAAGATGGTCTTTCTTTCCAGGATTCGGCTAAAATCCACTGAGCTGGTGGTAAAGTGATGAACTCTCCTGGTTTTCAGGGGATAAAACCAAGGGTGTTGCCTCGATGTGAGATTTTCAGTGCTAAAACTGGGACTGTTTGGGGCAAACCGGGATGAGTTGGTCATCTTAGCTGATTGGAGTTGGGGAAGAGGATGGTTTGGGGTCTTTGATAAACAGCCCAGAGTTTCAATTGATTCCTGAGTTTGATTGTGCAAGTGGAATCCTACCACCTGCTGGCTCAGGTGAGTGGGTCCCTTGAACTCCAGCATGGTCTGTGGGCCTCTCCCCCTCACCCCCGTGTACCCTAGCAGAGGAAACCTGGGACCAGCTCCTTCTCGTTGACATGAAGTCTCCGAAGTTTCTCTGTGCAGAGTGCCCAGAGGCCAGCCTTGGGGAAGACCCCTCCTGCAGCAATCCTCCTTGCTTACTTGTCATGCCACCCTCCTCTACAGGATGACATGTAGTTCCTGTGTACGTGTGTGTGAGACTCTCAAGGAAGAGAACAGCAGCTCTCCACTCTGAGTCAGAAGGTGAGTGTTCCAGCCCTGACTCTGTGGAATGGTACCATTTTTTTTTCTCTGAACCTCAGTTTCTTCTTCTGCAGAATGTGGGTGCAGGTGGTGGGCAGGGAGAGTAAGACCCCCCTCTGTTGTGAGGAAAATGGAATTATGAATGTGAAAGCCCTTTGAAAACTACAGCTCTGTACAAAAGTTAATTATTAGTAGACAACAAAGGCAGGGGCCATACATTCAAGAAGGGCAGAGTTAAAACTCCTCTAAAATTTTGCTGTGGAAGTTGGTTCCTTTAATCCTTTCCCAAAAGCACCGTGAGTTTTTTCAAACAGCCACCTAGACCGCAGTTGGAGAAGGAAGGGCTGGTGAGCTGTGCTTGTGGTGCAGGGGTAGGGGCTGCAGTGGTGCAGGGGTAGGGCAGGGGTATGTTTGAGGGGAGCAATTAATATCCCCTGACCCAGAAAGCGGGGAGCAGAGTCGATGGCAGAGAGGGGGCCTGTGCCGCAGCAGGCTTCCAGCCCGCCCACTTGGCTTCACCGTTTTGCAGAGGGCAGAAGTGTCCAGGGCACCTGCTCCGCCCTCTCCCCTCCCAGACGTGCTGACGCTGCTGCAGCCACATGGGATTTCTACCCTGTGCCACACTCAGGAAATGGCCGACAGCCTGCCCTGGGGCCTCCTGGTGGCTGTGCTTTAGAATCAATCATTAATTACTCCATGCTCCTCACCCCACAGGCTTTCAAAACACAGAAATGGAAATACAGGTCCTGGTAGGTGAAAGGAAAAGGACTGTGGCTATGGAAGGCAGTTTGGAAAAAGCCACTCATGGCATTCATCCAGATGGTTTGGGTGGGACGAGTCCTGGGCACATGTCTTTCAGGCTCTTTTCCTCCAGTGGCCTCTTGGCAGTGCCACCTGGGCTACTAGGACGAGACCCTCAGCTGGGTAGGATAAAACCACATTAGGGAAGCGGAAAGGAAGGTGACAGAGTGAGAGGAAAGGAATGATGTATATGGAAGGATAACACAGGTCATTTTTTTTCTCTCTAGTAATAATACTTTTTAAAAAGTTACAGATAACAAGGTAGGCCCTTTTTGTAACCCATTTTGCAGATGAGAAAACTAAGTCCCAGGGAAGGTAAATAACATGACCACGGTCACCCAGCTGGTAAGTGGCTGA